GCCGGGGGGGGGGGGCCCAAAGCGGGCGGGAGCCGTACCTCACCGGGAAAGCCCTGCTGGCCTTTGGCAGCCTAGACCTCTCGGAGACCAGTGACTATGGGAAGGTGAAGGCGCGGCGCCGGCGCTTCAGGGAGTTCCGCTACCAGGAGGCCGACGGTCCCCGGGCGGCTCTCAGCTGCCTCCAGGAGCTCTGCCATCGCTGGCTGGAGCCGCACAGCCGCACCAAGGAGCAGATCCTGGAGCTGCTGATCCTGGAGCAATTCCTGACCATCCTGCCGGAGGAAATGCAGAGATGGGTCTGGGAGCGTGGCCCTGAGACCTGTGCCCAGGCGGTGGCCCTGGCAGAGGGGTTCCAGCTGGGGCAGCCAGAGGCCGATTGGCTGGGGCTACAGGTGAGCGCGTTTAATTCTGCTTACGTCAGTGGGGGAGCAGGGTGGGAAGGGGAGATAAAGCCTGGAAGCCACAAGGGATGCAGGGTTCCTGCTTGTGTCCCTGCAAAGTCTTGGGTGCCCGACATGAAACAACCAGGCCCTGGGAGTTGAGGAGCCGGGCAGTTCAGCTGCATTACCTTTAGCACGTCCCTCTTGGAAACCAGGCCCCGCCCGTCTCTGGACAGCTGGAGTCATGCTCCATGTCAGCGGGGGGCATCTGAGAACTTGTGCACTCATGCGTAGAGCGCCGCGTGGGACAGAGCATAGCTGGTGAGAGCTGCCGGCGCTGCCGACTGGAGGAGCCTGAGGGAGTGAATCCCCCTCCCCTGGCCTCTCAGCAAGGCGCTAAACTGCCCCGAGGGAGAGCGGAGGACGATCTGCTGTCATGCAAAGCCCCCCTTGCTTTAGAGACATCTCGGCGCCCTGTCCTGCCGAGCTGTGACGGGTACGTCACTCCTGTGTCATGCAGGGCGCAGACCTGCCCCGAAATAACCCCTAGGGCACAGCCTGGAGAGACACATCCCGTCTCGCTTGGAAGATGGTCCGTGATGGAGAATCCAGCTCTCACCCCCTAGCGGTGGCAGGAGCCGTGGGGGAAGTGGAGCGCACTGCACCTGTGCACTCGCTCCCCTTCCCCGCGCCCCACGTGGGGGGGGGAGGCTCATGACGACTGCCCCAGCACAGCACCAGGCCCTCCGGTGACCCCGAAACTCAGGGGACGGGGTGCCATGGGGAGAGGAGGCGGGATGATGGTGGGAAGGGGCGGGGCTTCATTCTGGTAACGGACAGCCCTCCCCCAGCCTGCAAGGAGTCCTGGGCTATATGGCTCAATCGCTCTCCGGTTACAAATATACACGTTATTTCCAGTCTGAATTGTCTAGCTTCACCTTCCATCCATTGGGGCATCTGTCCTCCGCTAGACTGAAGAGCCCATTACTAAATATCACTTCCCTATGGGTACGTCTACCCTGCACCGCTATTTGGGGATACCAGAGGTATCCCGAAATAGCTACCCCACCTCTACACAAGCCACCTGTTATTTCAAAATATTTTTCAAAATAACGGCCCTGCCATCCTGGTAAAACCTCGTCGCACGAGGGATAAGGGATGGCTTGAGATAGGGCAGTATTTCGAAATTTGGCGCTGTGCAGACACACCAAGTAGTGCAAATGGCGTATCTTATTTCGAGGTTAGGGTGCTGTGTAGACGCACCCTGTGTGGATACGTACAGGCCTTGATCAAGTCACCCCTTAACCTTCTCTTCGTTAAGCTAAATAGATTGAGCTCCTGGAGTCTAACACTAAGACGGGTTTAGTGAGTCTTTAATCAATCCTGCATCATCTCTAAATCCACTTCAGTCTCTCAACGTCCTTTTTGAATTGTGTTCACCAGAACTGGATCACCGTGTATCAGTGACCTGCCCCCCTTCGTTATTTGCCACTCCCCGGCTGTGTCTAGACTGGCAGGTTTTTTCCCAAAATCATCTGATTTTTGCGGAAAAACTTCCCAGCTGTCTACACTGGCCGCTTGAATTTCCAGAAAAGCACTGACGATCTCATGTAAAATCATCAGTGCTTTTCCAGAAATACTATGCTGCTCCCATTTGGGCAAAAGTCTTTTTCCGAAAGACTTTGCGCAAAAGGGCCAGTGTAGACAGCACAGTAGTGTTTTC